CTCACTTTGATAGTCCATTACTTCTGCTTGCTGACCCGATGAATGCATCGGAGAGCAATTTGGGGTTAGTATCTTGCCCAAGGATATCTGGCATGCAGACTAGGGGAAGCCAGGAATCGAACCACCAACCTTCCAATCAGTAGATGACCTGCTCTACCACCTGAGCTACAGCCACCCCGTGATCAGATTAAAGAAACTGTTTTTTTTTTTTAGATTAGCATTTCTGCCTTCCTCTTTTGCGGCCAAAGCACACTCTGATACGGCTGATCGATACTGCTGGATGCAAACAGAAGTAGAAACAGAATGTTCTGGTACCAAAAACCTTCTATGTTGCCTATTTTGATTAGCAATAATCAAAATTATAAGAAATGTAAGTTTGCCAACATTACACACAACAAGCTGCAGGGTATAGAAGAGCAGATACGGTTGTGCCAACATAACCACAGAGCTAGCAAAGTTAAGTTACAGAAGTTTTCTTTCAACAACCTCATTTTAAGTTATTGAATGACACCTTTTGCACACGTGCTCATACACTGCGGGAGAACTAGCATCGGCCAAATCAATAATGATAACATCATTATCAATAACTGAACATTGTGTATCTTGTACAACTCAGAGATCGGCTAAGTATTGGCATAAATGCAACAAAGCTAACTTGAACGTGAAAGACTAGCTGGCTAACTGCCCCCTGTGATATAATGTTAGCTGGTGTTAGTTATCTTACTTGCTAACACAGGAAAACTTCCTGATATCCAGCATACCATCTATAAAGCTAGCTAACCAAAGGTTTGTAATCCCTTTATAGAGACGTCTTATATGTCTAATCTCCTCATTTTAAAGGAGTAGATTGGCCACCTGTGAGCGTGCACAGTTTTTTAAGATAATTAAATAACTAAATGTTCTCATATTAGTAAACACTTTATCCTTAAGCCACTTGGTGACCAAGGACTTATTTGGTAGGGGTGCAACAATACTCGTATCGATATTGAACCGTTCGATACAGTGCTTTCGGTTCGGTACGCATAT